TCCCTTGTCCATGGATGTGAGAAAATACATAAACAGGCTTATAGTGAAAATTCCATCAGATTTAATGCAGTGAATTTAACTCAGCACAACATCAAAGGAGCCGCCCATCTTTTAAAAGCCCTCGATGGGGTAATGTCACTTTCTCCCTCCTTCTAGTTTTATTCCTGGCGGGCTATCATAGGCCCAACATTTACCACATATCAGGCCAATACGAAAAGCGCAGAGGAAATTTCCTGTCACACAGTTGGATTTTGTAAGAGTGGGTGAGAGAAGCAGGGGCTGACTGAGTGGTAGATCTCTCTCTCCCCCCTCTCAAAGTAGCAAGTCGTTATGGAATCAAATCCCACGCTCTATCCCCCACAAGCTGAATCACAATCCTGCATTAGCTGCGATATCACTCTTCGTCCTGCTGCTGCTCTTTTTCCCACCGCCCGTGAGCCAAGTGGGTGCGAGAGGCCAGACGGCACGGCCCTATCACTCACCGGCACTCTCTCACATCGGCATTACCACGCGTTTATCTCATCTCCTGCAGCCCGGCACGGCCGGCCGCCTCTCGCTCCTCCAGGCTACTTTGCTAATAACCTATTCCTTATCAGTCACCGTGCACCTCTGCCTGTGATCAAAGAGCCAATTAATGGAGTGGGGAAAGGTGAAGCATTCAAATAATGAAGACAGCTGTTTTTCTCTGTTTGAGAAAATCCATTTTGTATTGTTATCGGCTCCAAGCAGCTCCCGCCAGAACAGCGCTTAATTCAAGTCGCTGTCTGCTTCTGCCTGGCTTGATAAGAGAGAGTCAGAAAAGACAAGGGAAGAGAAAGGGGGAGATGAGGGGAGAAGAAAAGAGCCCTGGTCACAATGAACTTTATGTGTAAGAATGTGGCAGGAATATCACAGCAGTCCAACTCATCCCTGAGCTTTATCAACTCCAAAGTGGTTCAACTCAGAGATAAAGATGGGGGGATGGGGGTCATAAAAAAGGCAGAGCTTCAGCAGCCGACAAGCTGCTTTATGGCTTTACTGTCATTCATTTTGAAAGGGGAGCAGCTACTTGAGGCCCAACACAATCTCGACGGGCAAAAAACCCTGAGGTTAGTTAAGAGGTTAATTGTACTGGTGTCAGAGCAGCATATAAATAGCTCCATCAAAGACTCACATCTTAACAGCTTTGTTGTAATTTGTACCACTCCACTTAATTTTAACAGTTCCTTTAGCCCTGTTGGTTATGTGTGATGACATTTTAAAGCGTCGGGTGAAGTTGATGCACTGGATGTCTAATCAGTCTTTGAGGTGTCGAGGATGCTTCTCTATATACTGAAGCCTATCTCACATTCTAGCTTCAGTAATGATTAGGCTGATTTGTTTCCTATATTAGTCAGCAAACGGTCATATCCAGGATATACTGGACAGTAATGGTTTGGCTCTAGCTGGTTCTATTACTGTCGTCGTCATTTACTTGTCATATCTAATCACTCATCAAATACAGCGGCAGAGCCCACTTGCAGATGGAAATTAAATTTAGAGACTTAAACATATGATTTAAAAGGGTCAATAAAATAGTTTACAGTCGGTCAAACAGGGTCATGGGATTTGAAGAAATACAGAGACATATAGTCAGATTTAATGATTATAGTGCTAAATTTTAAGCTGAGAGCCTTTTTATTCCTCACAACTAAGCAAAAAGTTGACCGAAAATGTGCCGTCAACACAGTTCCCATAGATATCATATTTAAAGGAGAGAAATAAAATGGAAACATATATTGTGCTCTGTTAAGGTATATATTTCATAGGATTAGATTGTATGATGTTTTCTCTGTGGGTTTTGGTTTAAACTGTATTTACTGTACTGTGGGCAGTGTGTTAGAAATAGGATGAGGGAAACTGACAGTGAGTGCAAGAAAATTAAGGAATCATAAGGGAAAAAAGGAGAGAAAATAAGTATTCAAGTCCACAATGTTTGTGTCATAGTATCACTGATAAACTGTAAATTAGTTTTTATCACAATGTCATTGAATGCTACTTTAAGCTTGTGTGGTATAAAGCCTTCCTAACCATGTCTTAAGCTAAAGGGAGAACAACAAGTACCTAAGTAGCATATATTACAAAGAAAAAGGGCCCAAGCATCGAGCTTTGGGGCACACCTGTTGGGAAGGGATGGGATAAGCAGTGACATACTGAAAAAGTGGCTTGATGAAGTAGGATTCAAACCAAAAAAGCATTTTGAGATAGAGAACAGATGCTGTGATTCACAGGGACATATTAAACTAAATCTTAGCAAAATCAGAGCAGCAGGGAGCAAGATAACCTTCCTACCTAAAAACCTCTTTCAAAGCTTTCACTTTCAGTTTGTGATGTGGAATTTCTGTGAATAGTTTTAAAGCAGAGCTTAGATAACCCAGATGACACCATCAGATTCATACACCTCATGACATGTAAACTGAACTAGGGCAGTAAAATGAATGGAGTGTACTTGTGGATAAATTGATTTTGATCTGGATTGTGCTGCTAATCTTGGACACTGCTGTTGCAGAGAAAGAACACAAGTCTTAGAACTTCGAGGCAGGTATTAACATATTTATTACACCGTAAAGAGAACAACAATACCAGAATTATACTGCAAAGTTTCACAGACTGACAGACCATAGTTTACAGCCCAAAAAAGGAATAAAAAAAGAAACTAAAAGAAATAAACTCAACAAGAAACCACAGTTCTGACATAGTAGACTGGAAAGCTCTCTAGAGGACACTGACTCTAAGCGATGGAAAGACCGCTCAGCGTCAGCCTACCACTAACCTGTGGTTTTCATGTCTCAATTAAGTATTGCACAACAACTTCAAATCATTTGAACTCTTTTTTTCCACAATAAATTTTCTCAAGAGAACGCAAAAATAACCCTCCCACCCTTAAAGTTCAACTCACTCCCCCAGATTAATGCTACGGCCTTTGCTGTTCACTGTTGGCCCCAACCCATTTTCCCAATGTTTCTTGTTAAGTAAGAAATTTAAATCACATTTCCTCCTATTGTGAAAAAACAGGCATGCCTAAATTCATAGCCTTAGTCTTTTTGTTTCTTTATTTTTTATATTTTTTATAGATTTTTTTATAAGGTTTTACTTTTTGTGTATCCCCCTTTTGAATTTACCCCAGCTGACAAGTTGACAAGCACTTCAGCATGTCTTTACAACAGAGAAGAGAAGGAGAAAAGGTGGAGAGGGAACAGGGGAGAAAAAGAGCAAGAGAGAAACAACATTTCTTATCTGTGACCTTAGCTTGTGTCATCGAAAGAGGAATCGACAACACTTTTCTTTAAAATCAGCACAATTTTTAAAAATCTGTTCAAACAATTCAAACTCTTGATGTATTCTAGAAACGCCACAGGCATAAAGGAACATAACAAAAGTTTTTTTTCACTTTTTTGTCATTTCTATTCATTTATGTTTCATTTATTTATGAGGTCTGCATTGTTACCAAGTAGTGATATGGTTTTGCAGCTGTATGAGCTTCAACTTTGGGTTTTTTATTTTCCTGTTCTCTTGTGCCCATTTGGTTTCGACTAGACCAGTATCAGCGCCGCGACTGATGCTCTTATCGTGCTGTAAGAGGTAGAGTGAGACTTGTTTGCCACCGAGGAATTTGTAGCAAAACACACATAGAGGAGGGAAGAAAGAAAAAAAAATATAGAGCTTTTCAAAGAATCATTGAGCAATAACTTTCATCTTCCTTTTTTTTTCTTATTTTAAAACCCAGGTTTTGCCCTGATAATGATGACCACACGTTATTTGTTGTATAATTTCAAACACACTAGTGTTAAAACAGCTTGGCTGTTCCTTCACAGCTTCTGAGGAGTCGCGAGTTGGGTGTCAGACACCTTTTTGGATAGTTTAACCCTTTGAGAATGCAGTCGTGTAGTTTAGTTCGACAAGAAGAGAGGGAGAGACGAGGAAGTACAGAGGGAGAAAACTGCACAGAACCTTTGTGGGCGTCCACTTGTTCCTTGAGGTCAGAATTTGTAACGCGCTTCTGTGTAGCACCAAGGTGTTTGGGGTGAAGAGCCTTTGTGTGCGTCAGGTTAAGTGTTCTCTTACTATGAATGAGAGGTTTGTTTGATTTACATTGAAGGTTTACAACAAAGCACGACTGATTATCTATCCAAAAAAAAGACATACTCTGATAAATAAATATAAAACAGCTGTAAATGGCGTGGGTGTGAAAGCCCACTCTCACATTCACCTCTTTTATAAATAAAGAACTTAACTGCTTAAAGCTAAAAATGGGTACTTAATCTGACATTTGTGTAATGAGAAAATGCACAAACAAATCAAAACTAATCCGAAGAATTTCCTTTAAAAATGGTCACAGAAGTCATTAGGTTTCATGTCACATTAGTTATTATTGCTCCAGTTAAAATGTAACACTGCTGTGAGACGTTGATTACATTTAATTCACACCTTCTCATTTCACAATGCAAGATGAGTGTGGTCGGTTTCCAGAAGGAATTAAAATAAATGATTTTATGACCATAAAGTTCAAACTTGTTCTGTGAATGTGAGAACAAAACCTGCAGAAATGAATAACCAAACTTTTGTGAGAACAAACCTCTGTTGAAAATTGTTTAAATCAGGATTTTGGTCCTTGGTGTCAGTCTTTGGCTGTTTTTGGTGTTTATTATTTTATTTTTTTTATCTCTTGTGTTAATACTGTGTGTTACCTGGTGCTTTGCAGTGTTAAAGCTGTCAATCGGAGTCTACACCTCTGCATTTGGAAAGTTAGTTTGTTAGATTTTTTTTTTCGTTTGTACTTTTTTTGGTCGATTTTCCATTTTTTTCTAAAAAATAACAAATATTTAACAAACGTTCAGTAATGTGCATGCACTGTCTGTAACTATAAAAAAAAACATTATGGCTGCTTTTGTTAGCATGTTAAGAATAAAAAAAGTGGGTTTGGTGATTTTACATTTTTCCAGCGGCCCCCAAACCTGCCCCACCCGCCCCTCCCAAAAAAATGTAAAAACAGATTATGCAATCACTACGTACAAAATGGCTGAAGAGTTATGGCTCTATACCAACAACACAAGTATGCTGAAAAGAAGCATGCCAAAATAACCTCTGTGACAGTGCAAATACATTTATGTATGTCCCTTGTACAAAACATTTAGGGTAGCATTCCGCGCAACATGCTAGTTCTCAGAAAAGATCTGGGTCGGACTCAAGTAGCAGCTCTGAGATATAGCTTTTGTCTTTTCTTGAGGACAAAGGGAAGTAAAACTTATAGTAACTACGAGGGATCTACCAACTACACACAGAATAGAAAAGCAGCTTGGAAAAAAGATAACACTTCTTTTTTTTTTTTTTTTATCTCTTTTTGCACCAGCTAGAGAGAGAGAGTTATGAAGGATTTTGAGTTGTGACTGGTTGAAGTACTATGCAGTGTCACAATTGTCCAACACATATACAATAAATAACCATTGATGACACCACAGGACAGAAGTCTTAAACACCATGACATCTATAGAAAAAGAACATGAAGAAAGATGAGAATGTGTTTTTTCAGAGTTGAGTCAGGAAGGGAGATTGTGGGGTGAGTCGTCACACTGTGGATTTTCAGCTCCATGTGCTGCTGTCAAGGTTATATGACAGTCTCACCGGCAGGATGATGCCTTTGCTTGCTGCTGGAGAGCTTCCATGACCCACCGAGCATGCACGTGTGAATTGTAGTCAGTACATCCTCCACATGTGCAGTGGGCAAAGTTTTGTATCCTTTTACATGCTTCAGGGAGACGGATTTGTATTTCCCAGCCCACTGACCTGGATATTATTACAAGTGAGAGGGAAATAACATTGGTTGAACAGCTGGCTCTGCTCGCAATCTGCCGCACATCTGCCCGTTTCATGGCAGTCTGTGGACCAGAGATTCAGTCCATCCCTCTCCCCTCTCCAGGCAGCAAATTTATTTATGTCTCCATCCGTCAGTTTCTTTCAGAATTTTTAAATCGAATTTCTTTCCTTTCGAAGAATGCTGATGCCATATTCTGCTAGCTAGTTATATTCCCTTGGTATGTTGCTTGGTTAATTGTCTTCTTGAGGTTGACTAGTCTCATGTCCCAGGTACAGGAAGTAATTAAGTGTTAATTCCAGGATGGAAAATTATAAAAAAAAAAACAGGGAGGTCAGATATACTGTTCTTGGGTTCACGGCTATCTCTGGTCAGTCTCATATTTACAGGAGAAAATAAGATAAGCTACAATGACAGCAACATTAACAACAACAGGCACAACAACAAACAGACAACAAGAATAGCAAGTGTAATGACAAAAGGATGTCAATATTTAAATTCATTCATTCAAAACAAAGAATATCTTTGAGTTTCCTTAAAGTCATGGCAGGTCAATATGACCTGATTATGGGCCTCCTCCTCCTTCTATGCAAGATAGATAGAAGCATTGCCATCTTTCTCTGTTAGTCATATTAGCTTAACATCTTTGCAAGGCAATGTAGACAGTCATGCTGTGTGTGCCCCTCCAGGCCTTCACGCCTCCGTCATCTGTGAGAGTCTCTTAGCGGGGTGTGCCATCCAGGACGGAGGAGGATGGGGTGCTGGGGGTGGATGAGCGAGGTGTAGCAGCAGGCGGGGTAGCAGCCGGACTTCCGGTCCCGCTGCTTGGGGTGCAGGCTGATGAGCTAATGGGAGCAGGGGTCTCTGACCCGGGAACGCCTCCTTGCTGCTGGCTAGCCTGCTGCTGCTGGGCCTGGAGGGTCTGGCCGCAGACGTGGTGGTGCTTCTCCCAGTCCTTATGCTGGCAGAAGGAGCCGCAGTAGCGTGCTGTGTTGCAGCCACTGCAAGTCTCACTGGCCTTACGGCCACAATTCCAGCAGCTCTGACGGACAAATAGAGACAAAGTTAACTAACACAAAAAACAATCAACAATCAGACAGAATTGGCTGGTTGAGCACATGATCTTCTGATAATTGATAAAACTGTAATTTGTTTTATTTTATGTCTCTATTCACACTAAGAGATGATCGTGTGTTCGATGAATGACAACAGACAGCTCCATCAAACAGAAGTAGAGAACATGTCGCCAAAATTAGCAACAGCTATCAGTGTGCCAGTCTGCACTCCCTGCTTTTACAACACTTATGCTTAAAACAAACCACAGACAGATCAAAAACCCATCTCTCATTAGATTTAGGGCCTCTTATATATCTTAGAAACCGCAGGGAGAGCTCGCCAGGGCGGCTGCATATCCACAGGAAACATGAGGACAAGGTTACAAACAGCTTCTAGAAGTTCTCCTCTGGGGCGCTTCTCTCTCATAAACATCACTCCTGCAATTAATGTCAGATGTGAGCCATACTTCCCGCTCACTTAACTGATTAAACGTCAAGGTCTCCTATGGTGATTAGTAAATGAAAGCTCCTTCCCCTTTTCCTCTCAACTGATTTCCAAACAAGCTAGCTACTGAAAAAGAAAGCCGAAGGAAGAAAGCAAGGCTAATAGAGGCATGATTGACCTTGTTTTGCTTTATTTATCTACTGACTATAAAATAACCTTTATTTGCAGGAACACTTAAAGCTGCAAATAATAAGCAGCCTCTTTAATTTTTTTGAAAGATATTGCACAATGATTTATTAATTATCATCTGTGTAATTTGGGAGTCACTAGAACAGCTGGCAACAAAAGTAAAATCAACGACATCAAAGGAAGATGCAACACCATAACTGCCAAACAAGACGCTGACATTGGTGGTAATGCACCTTGACGATGGTTACCACCGCCAATAAATCGAACATAGAGAGAAGAAGAAGACAACTTGATGTGTTTCAAAGCTGAGGGCACAGCTTCTGATGCTTTGAAGTATCTGTGTGTCTGGGTCTATGTTCCTACCTCGCTGGAGTCCTCCTGCTGATTGATTATGGAGAGCGCATCTTCGGCCGCCTGCCTCTTGGCCTCTGCCACTGTGCGCTCCATCTTGGCCCGCTCACTGCTGATCATATCGTGAGCCTTGCGCTCGGCCTCTGACACAGCCTTCTGCAGCTCTGACATGGCCTGACGTTTGACCTCATTCACCGCCTCTTCTGGAAAGAGTGTGGACACAGAGGAAGTCAAGCCTCCCGAACCTGCAACATAGTTTGCATCAGATCATCTTGTCATTGGGGCTTCATTTGAAATTAGTACACAGTCTGTCATGTTTTATTTTGGCACCAATTTTACTATTTCTGGATATAAAGATCTCTCACACAAAGATTTAGAGTGGTTTGTTTTTTATTTAAAACTCATTTACAACTACTGTTATAGTAAAATCTTGCTCCTGCCATTCTAAACATTTTTTCTAAGTTTGTACCTTTCAACACATCTAGAGGACAGAAATCATCAACAGCACAACAATGCTTTTATTCATTTGTATTAATACATTGTTAATACAAAAACCGAGAGAAGACACTGTGATTTCACATAGCAGAGAAAACTGCTTTAGCTATTGTAGTTTGTAGCTTTTTTTAATTCCCACAATCAGCTTTCTACATAGAGTAGCTTCTGAATTTTTACCAAGCATCTAATCTAAATGTTTACTGGGAACATTAACCCAAGACTTCTTGAGTTGCTTTAAATTATTCAGGAATTAATTTTTCTCAATTGACATCCTCTCTTTTGCATCCCTGCTTCTAATTAGGGAATTCTTATGACTGTGACTGGGGCATGTTTAATCACTTAGATCCTCTAATGGGTCAATATGTGATGCTTAAATTGAAAAAAAGTTGAAATTATTTTATTTTAAGATAAAAGAATATATGTTTTTTTTTCTCTTTTAATTTCCCCGAGACAATGGCACAAGCCAATTAATCCCAGGTAATCACTCTGAAAATGTGCTCATAAGTGGCAGCAACGTGTTATTTTATACTTGTTTTGTGGAGTGACTAACCTTGCCGTGCGGGTGTTAAGCGGTGGAATTTCAACCGCACATGTCAAAGCAAAAGGAAGGCTTTCTGTTTGCTCCCATCAAGCCTGTAACTTGACTAATTGTGTATGCAAATCAGGCAATTTATATTTAAATTATGCATTTCCATTGTGATCCCAGAGGCCCATGCGGTGAGGGGAAGTGGGAAACCGGTAGGACACCATGCAAGGTGCTTGAATATTTATCACCAACTGTAAACATTTTGCTCATTTAAAACAGATGTATTCACCACCACACTCTATTGTGTTAAAAATCCTATTTTGCAATCCTCCCTGGGTCACATTTAAACCAGTCACTCCTCAGCCAGAATACGTACAACTGAAGTGAAAGGGATAGAATAAATACTGAGAGGGAAACAGGGAGGATTAAAACTTGCTGTTGACATTATTGAAATTTAAAGAATAAAAAAATATACAGCTTTATTTCTGATAAATATGATAAACTTTACTTAATTTCCTTTGTGAAAATGTAATTCAAATGTATGAACCGACCAGACAAGCAATGTGGGCTTTTCTAAAAACAGATATTTTCTATTCATCGTCACTGAGGTAAACCAGGGTGGTTTTGTCTTTAACCTATTGTGCTGCTTGAAGTCATGGAAATTGCCCTGGTGCCGTGAGATATATGCCGTGTGCATGGAATTGTGATTACACACCAAATGCCTTAGATGGAAGATCGATCAAAGCTGGTGTGGGGAGCAGAGCACTGGAGAGCAGGCAGGAGTCCCGGTGGTGATACTCAATTCAATTTAAATGCATATTACTTGTTCTGAGTATCTCACACATCATGCTTGGTCAAGCAAGGGGACAAAATCTTTTCTCCAAGGGGTTTAAAAAGCAGATATGCTGTATCACTGACGGTGAATATAAAATGGATTCCTCAAGCATCAAACCCTCAGCGGAGAAAAATTCTTTCAGTTTTTTAAGACAGCGATAATGGTGATTGCAGCTGTGCCCACAAGTTTAAAAAATGCTGTTTGTGTACACTAAAAATGTAATAGCAACTAATGAAAGCTGTTAAAGAAACAAATTAGTTTCGATACTTGATCTTAACAGGCTCTACAAATTTGCCTTGACAATTTTACATCACTTTCTTAAATAGGATAGCTGCAGTGTTTATCGCTGAGGGGATTACAAAAACACCAAAAGGAAAATGACACCAAATCTTTCTACTGTACTTTTTACAGCAGAACCACTGGTCCAGCTGTAATAGCCACTTAAGTCCTTTTTTTTGACTGGTGCAATAAAATAATTTTATTACCTGACATCATATTTTGAGAGCATTGAGTGTGATGGGGAAACTTTAAAACATTTATTTAACTTCCTACAGTATCAAATATAAAAAGTAAACCTGGTACATTACTTAAGTTTGTCAAGGAGAGGAGGTTGCAGACTACACTCGAAGGAAATGGCAGAATGGGATTTAAAAACCACAGAGAGAGGGATAGATGATGTTGGATGGTATAAAAGTGCAACTCACCAGCTTTCTTCCAAATCTCTTCCGGGACGTAGCCAGACACAGGCCGGTGCAGCAGCTCCCTGTGAATTTCTGGGAAGAGAAAAAAACACACCAACAACTTAGCAAAGGTTATCAGAGACCAACCATTATTTTGCAAGACATAATTAAAAAAGATTGTTGAACAAATCAGCAAGTAATAGAAGCTAGCAGCTACTCTCTGTCTCATACACACTGTCATCTGTGTAGACAAACAGTAAAGGACCCACATGTGAACCCTGGGGCACTCCACATTCAGAATGTACAAAATTTAGAAATTCTATACATCCTTTTCATGTAGTAAAAAAAAAAAAACTCTCTTACCTGGTGTTGCATTTTCCTGTGCTGCGGGGCTCTGCTGCCTTGACTGCCCACTAGTGGCGCCCTTCTTCAGCTCTTCAGCATCGCTGTATCTTCGGATCCAGTAGTTGAGCTCTTCTCGGTCGGCCTCCTGGCACCGGCGCAGTACCGTTAGTGAGCGCCGTGTTTTCTCCACCATGTCCATGATACAGTTCAGCAGCTGGGGGCGACAGGGAGCACATGTGGCGCTGAGTTTACACATAGATGTGGATCGATTGATTGAAACTTAGTGAGGATTTGGTGGGGTTCTAAATAAAAGATGAAATCTTATCATGTTGTTTTAGTTAGTGTGCAATTATTCTGTTCATCTGAATGGTGGAGTGTGGTCGTGATCAGGTTTTTTAGATCACACCTTACTTCATCACTTCAGTCAATATACCTGTGTTCATGTGCCATGATTGACTGATTAAGTTTTGATGTGATATTTCATGTAGTTTGAACATTTAGAAAGTTCCAGCATCTTTAAGAGGGCTGGGTTAACGACACTGATGGTAAACACGCTAACAACATTACAGACACACAAGCATATTTACACGCAAGCATGCACATATATGTCTCCATTCTATAAAAAATGACTTAAAGACTATTAGTCTTGATTTACATGTATATGTTTTATTTTGATTAATTTAATTGAACTTTAAAATATTTATATTATTTTGCATATGAAAGTTAACAACAAAGATTTTCACAAATTGCAAAACGTCAATGCACAATGTCACACAGTGTATAACAGTTTCATTCATTTGAAATATCTGAAATGAGGACTTAGACAATCTCTGCTACTTACAGAGACAGCACTATAGGGTATAGTAATAAAAATGTTATTACTTTTCTTACATGGTCAAGGTGCTTCCACTCCTCAGCCCACTCTCTGTCTGTCAGCCTGTGGTCAATCACTTCCTCCTGCCTGGTCCCTGCATGCATTCCTGTAAGAAAGAGAAGGATGGATAGACAGACAAACAGAAAGAAAGATAAACAAAGAGTAAGTCAGTACGACACAGAGGATCAATGTAACATTACGCCACCACTTGCTCGCCCTCCCTATTTCATCTATTCTTCATTTGGTCCCTGGTTGGCACTTTCTCTCCATCCATTTCTTTGTCTTCCTCCCCGAGGGCAGGGCTGAAATGACCGAGCTTCTAGTCCAATAAACATCTATCACAGGGCAAGACATGGTAAATGTCTCCTATTTTTAGAGGAGAGCCAAAGTCATTATTATAGCTTCATCAAGAGCCGGTCTACACAGAGAGAAATGTTTCTAATATGACAACACTGTTCCCGAATGTGCTTCTGCTGTGCAGTCTACACTATTGGGGTTTCAGTCTGTCCACATACCAACCAACATATACCATGAACCAATAAGCATCCACCAGGCTGAAGTAGATAGTTGTAAAACACTGATTTTGTTATTAAAAGAAGTGAGAAGCCTGACAAATGATGTAAAATGATGTATCTCTTGTCACTGATTACATTCGTACACAAAATCCTCTTGGTAATAACACTAAATAGGAGCTTTGACACTGTTGTGCATTGTGGGATTAGTTATTTCTCTCACACACACACACACACACACACACACACACACACACACACACACACACACACACACACACACTTATGCACCCTCCCCCATGTCCTCACCGATGGATCTGGCTCTCTCCCGGATCTCCCGGTGATTGGAGGCCGAGTGTCTGTAGGTGTCTCGGTAGTGGTGGGCGATGGCCATGTCGTCCAGCCTGTAGTGCTGTTGGGGGAGCGGGCCTGGGTGGGGCAGGCCGTTGGGCTGGTAGGAGAGTCCGTTGGAAGGGCTGAAACGCTGGGCGGGGCTGATGGTGCAGGGCCGTTTGCTGGGGTGAACGTCTGGGTGCAGGGCGCCATCTCGCTCGAAGCCATTTTCTTTGGTTCTGGGTGGAGAAAGAGGAAGATGAGTTTAGAATTTGAATTTCATCGTCATTTTCTACCAGTGAGGTATGATAGTTAAGATCTTCACATTTTAGCGAGAATCCTGAGACAACTGACACTCACATGTAGAATCATTTGACTTTACTACAACAATTTTAACTTGTTACAAGTAAAATATAAGATATAAATGTCAGAACACATATGGCTGAATAGTTTGCTGTTGTTTGCGATGACTTTCGAGTAAACAGCTACAAATTTCTTGTGCGGCAATAGATCAGGGGGAAAGAAAGAGGGAATAAAAGAAGGGGAGTGGACAGGACACAGTCATCACACAGTGTGTTGTTGATATCCCACCTATTTTGTTAAAAATAACTGATTTAAAATTTGTTTGTGAGCTATTACAGAAAAGAACCAAACATGTCATCACAACAACTGTGCCGGTCCTTTGTGATACAGTAAAGATTTGAATTAAATCTCAGACAAAGGAACTTCCATATAAAAGATTTTTGCAATCGTTGTGAAATCCTTTCATTGAAAACATGGCCATTCATATATACACACACATACACAACTAAAGCTTGAATGTGTGTGTGTATGCTCACAAAAATCACAGGTACACACATACATACTCACACAAGTAGCTTCCAGGGGATCAGGTGGATTTTTGTCAGCCTGCTTCCAAAGATTAATGTGGCCAGGTGTGTTTGTGTGTGTGTGCATGCTTGCACATGTGTGTCTGTGTGTGTGTGTGTGTGTGTTCTTAGCTATGTAGGTTCACAGTTAAATCTTGCCAACCTCCCCCTACTATCTGCAGCTTCCTCTCTCTCTCTCTCTCTCTCTCTCTCTCTCTCTCTCTTCCTCTCTCCTCTTCCTCTCCCTCTCCGATGAACAGATTGAACTTCTTAATGAGCTGTTTTTATGGGCTCCTAATGCTCATCCACAGCTCTCCATATGCTCTTTCCCTCCATCCGTCCGTCTCTCCCTGCCTCCCTTGACTCATCCATCCATTCCACCCCCCCAACCACACTCTTATCTCCCTGGCTTTCCTGCTGCAACAATGTTTATATCTGCAGACACTGGAGTACATGCATGCACAAACCTTCACCGTCATCTACACAATGGCGTCATGTGTGCGCACATAATTTATCTACTGTAGATAAATACGTGTTTTTTATTCAGGTGGCAGTGGCTCAGGAGGTAGAGCAGGTCACTCTGTCATCAGAAGGTCAGTGTCCTTGGCCATATCACTCAACTTTGCTACGGATACGCCTGTTTGGAAACACCACTGGCCCCATTTTAGATTGAAAACTCTCGCTCGCTGATTCCTAAAGCCCCTTATCACATGACCCCCTTCTGGTAGAAAACAACCGGCATTAGCAGTCGGTTGCTAGCAGTGTAGAACGCAACGTGGACAATCAATCACAAGCGTTGTTGACCCTGTCGTCCTTGCTAACAGCTGTTGTGTTGTTAAATTCTGCATTTTACAATTATACAACTGCTAACAAGCTGGGATTCATGCATGTGTACGTTAGGTCATGTGATATGCGTTTTCTGTTGGATTGAACAGGGATTAAAACTGATACAGTGCCAAAACGCTTGTGTGGACCGAGATTGTTTTAACACCATTTTCTTGAGAAAACTTCCCAGTGTGGAGCCCCAAATGGTCTCAGTGTGTGAATATGGTGAAATAGAGTAGTACTATATATATAAGCACTGTATGAATGTGTGTTTGTCTCACAGTGTGAGGCTCCTATATGTGTTGACTGACTGGGATTTGAAGTTGATTTCAACGAATAAGATTAAAAATTGTTTCAGAAACAACTTACCAACCCCATCTGTGATGCTGTAAAAATACGCTGCATTACTCTGAATTTACCATGCAAGACTTTACAGTACACAGCCCTGATAATGGCTGCACTCACAACTTATATTTAAATATCTTTATTAGAATTTACAGAACACACTATATGGGTATTTTTCTTTCACATAAGCATATTGTACTGTGATATTCCTTCTCTAGCTTCTGCAGAGCACAGTAATAATGAGGATGCATTGACAGTGCATTTTTGTCTGTAATTAAGGATTCCCATTCAAATTCCAATATTCTGAAACGGGGCTCCAATAAGTGGGAATGCGGAGCAGAGGTAAGCAGAAAGCAGAGGTGCTTAGCCAGCCGTATTGGTGCTGGAGCCTCATCTGTATGTGTTATCAGCCCATCTCCCTAGGTACACACACACACACACACACACGCACACACACACACACAAACACACGCACACAAACTGTACAGAGGTGTGCATGAACCTTCCTTACACTTTCACACTGGATAGTCAATTCCTGTACACACACACTCACACAAACACCACCACATCTTCTCGCTGAATACAGATGCCTACTTACTTTCTCCCTCTCCCCCCAGATATTCTCTCCCTCTCTCACACATTTACACACACATCTCCCTGAAGCTCGCTCCCCTATGCACCAGACGGCCTGCAAATATGCAGGTTTTACAGAAATCTCTGCCCATCTGACTGTTGGGGGAAAAAGAGAGGTGAGAATTATTAATTTTGCGTTCAGTTTTTTTGTCCCTCAGCAAATATAAAAATTACATTTTCCTCTCCACTGCCTGTATTAAAAATTTTAGACCCGCAGGAATTACTCTTTATTTCAGAAGAGCGTGGACACATTTTACTTTGCAGCAGAGGCACAAACTCACAACAAATGCTAACACACTTCTTTCCAAGAAGTTACCGCTTAATAAAAAGTATGTGTATGAGTTGTGCATATCTAATAGCAAAGGTTTGTTAGTCTCAGTTATTATTCTGATCAGTAAAAATATGGATACAGATTCTTCAGTTATGTTTCTGTCGTGTTGCACATTTCTACCACATAACATTCACTGTGGCCTGGGAATAAGCCGCACAGTCTTAACCATGCACAAATGTTTCACGTCTGTCTGGAAAGCTTTTCTACTTGTTTTCATTTTCTGCTGCTTCGGGGGAGACTGTTGGAGAGAGGACAATAAGTTTGTACACTGCTGTGTGTTCCTGGAAGGCAACATCTCACCACTCATCCATTAGAGCCGGGAACATTGAGTCATAACCCAAGTCCATGACAACAAATGATTGTAATGATCTGGCGGGGGGGCTTGACTTCAAGCATGGAAATTAAATGATCGTTTATAGATCGGAATCATACACAACCCAGGAAGTGCTCATACACCCACACTTTACATTATGACACGCCTGTCTCCCATCTTTTTTTTTTGCCCTCAGGGTGTTCTGCATTTGTGTGTCCAGGTCTTTCCTATCTCTTCTTCTCCTCTCCCTTCTGCTCCATTAAACTCAGGAGCTGGCAGCCAAGATGTCCAACGGAGCACGTCATGATGCCTGGTGGCTCTCTGACAGACTCTTCCCTCATATACATGAACACATTAGACTATGGCCTTGTTCTAACCAAAAATTAAGATTCACTTGGCATCAAAATCCAATTTCCAAAGTGGCTCCGACTTCCTGATTCACCCACCTGTCTGGCGTCCTCCTCTTGCCGTTCTCGTTGACGTCCATCAGGAGTTCAGAGGAGTCCACAGGGGAGGTGGTGCTGGTGTCCAGCAGCAGCTGCTCGTGCTGGGCCAGGTACTGAGCTGGGTTCTGCTTGGCCAGACGGGCACAGTGCAGCAGCTCCCTCTGAAGAAGCGGCAGGTTGGCCTGCAAAGAGAAACACCACTGGATTATTAGCAGAAAGTGTTTGCTGTTTAGGAAAAGATTTTTGGGTTTTGTAAAAAAATGTAAAAAAGTAAAGAAAAATCTTTTGTGAGGTTTGTTTTCTGTTCTTTTCTTTTTCTGCTAATTTGGGAAACAATGACAATAATCTGTCAGATTCTGAGCTTGTACAAAAATATTTTGTGGCCAGATCTTGTAGTGAAAACAGAGACATGACACCTTGAATGAAAATCCATTGTGTCTATGCTGATGCAGAAAATGTAGGCTTTGAAAAGAAGAAAAATACACTAAACTAAATAGAATAGGTTACTGATGAAAGATAAATTCAATCAAATGCAACTCAAATAGTGAAGCTCTACAAAACATATCTGATAACACATACAAACTTTCAGTATAAGAGCACAATGTCCAAAACTTTACTATCAGTACAAGAACCCAAGGTCCGAAATATGCTGTTAAAATAATATATATATATATATATATAAAATCTTTTTCCACAGTGATTTTGTTCAGAATACATCATTTTGAGGTAACAACAGACCCATTTCCTCCGTGTTATCCTCCCCATGTTTGCTCATTACCACTGAACCAGGACTACTTCCTGTGATCTCAGGTGCATTAACACTTTCTCTATACGGAGTGTCTTTTTTTCTTTTCACAGGAGCAGCAGCGATTTTCAATCTCTTTGACATAACAAGGGGGTCCGCTTTCTTGTGTGGAGTTACAGGTCATGCAGGTATGTGAGCGATGACTTCAAACACGTCTGATGGGGTTTTGAAGCAACGAGATGAAAGTGTTGCGTCAGGCATGCTCAGAATGCGAGTGGGGGGCTATTTTGGCGAAGGTACATCACAGGAGCCCTTCAAGGGGCTATCTCTGTAAGTTTCTGGTCTGTTAATCTTTGTTTTGTGCTCAATAATATAATCTCTGTCTAAGTCTCTTTCTTATTTTCTACTTTCCTCCTTTCTCCAGTTTTGTAATCCTCTCCATGCTTTAGGATTTTATTCACTCCTTCATCCCTTTCTTTCCTCTTGTCTTGCATTAGCTGGTGAATTTTGACTATTCAATCTAATCTTTGCCAACTACATAAAAATAAAACTCACAAAACACAACCATGATTTCTTAAGTGGTTTTTATGTTTCATAATCACAAAAAAAATCTCTCTCCAGTAATTGGCTTTAAAGGAAATGCCAAACACACCGGCCTTCACTTTACCTGCCTGAGTTAATGGTCCGTTAATAGTTTATGATCGTAATTACCCTCGGAGAAAAAAAGAGCATAAAATAGATTGCTTTGACCCTGGTGAACTCATCTTTCATTAATTAGAGGTCATCCTAATTGCCAGAGATGCGGGATGCATTAAGTCAAGTAATGCAGACCGCTGACGAGACCAGATCATTTTTCACATGATAAAGTGCAGAGATCTGCTTCTGTATAGTCACGGTTACCAACATCTACTTGCATTAAGGGAAAATTTCAAGTGGTGTTCGCTCAGCGGCTGAAATCTGCTCAGGATGATTTATTGAGAAAATGTTGGCACTGTCACTTTGTCAAATGGAGCCAAAAAGAAAATCAGAATATGCCGCGCACAGGATATACTGCACTTAATCATTTCTCTCACTGTGTAATTTGGTGGAGAATCGCTCCTTTGCACGTCTGGATTGTCCTGTTTCAATTATTTCCTATCACCACTCTCTCTTCTGCTAAATGTGTTTATTCCTCTTCGTCGCAGCACGTCTCTAGCTCCTGCACGACATAAGAAAAACAAACCACTCGACAGCCAAGATGAGAACAAACTTAAAAAAAAAAGAAGAAAAAAGCAAAACTTGGAGACTGAGACAACGCCGATGCTTCTGAAGCCAGTTGTCTCGTGTGGCGGGCGTCCCGCCAACACATCACGTCACTGGAGCTGTGTGGTTTATGATTGCCTCCTTCCAGTAAAGAGTCCCAACCAATTTGTGGTTTAGTATTAAGAGAAGGGGGAAAGGAGTTGAGTGGGATGGGTGGGTGGGTGGGTGGTTGAGGATGGTGGTGGGGGACTGGAAGGGTCGGCTCAGTCTAACATTAGCGTAATGAAAAAGTCTGAGCCCTGACACGCATTGTTGCAGCTGTGCTTTGACGCACCTATAAAAGCTCCCCCACACCTCCAACCGCTCTCTGCTACCATATGGTAGCTGGCATTAAAGGCCCCGCAGTGGGAAGACACTAAAATTAGACTGGGGAGAGAGAGGCAGAGAAGGAGCGAAGGAGGAGAAAAAAAAGAGAAAGAGTTGCATCTTTGATTCCGCAGCCATCCCAGTGATTCGCTAACCATCTGGTGAGGAGATGAGGAGGGAAGGAGGGACTGGAGGATAGATGGATAGAAAACAGTGGATAAACAGAAACAGGAAAGGGATACAGACACAGAGAAATTAGGAGGTAAGTTACGAGAAAAGATAAAGAGATGAAAGAAAAAGTTAAGTAAAGGGAATGATGTAAGGAAGGAGAGAGTGAGGACAGGCACTCCCTCTTTGTGTAGTTAACAGCCAGTAATGGAGGTTCTAGTGGGACCAATTTCTGCCGCCAGCATCCAAGCAGGACCTCAGTGGATAATATAAGCTTGTGAATGTCAGCTCACACGTGTACGCATCTGCATATCCACTCGTGCACGCACACCGGCGACAGCGGAATGTCAGACATTAGATATTGCGCACTGTCTTGTCTTCTTAAATTCCATTTTCCTCACGAATGTCACAAACGGAGACGGCAGCATACGGAGGGACAGATAAAGGATGGAGAGAAGATAAAGAGGAATAAAGAAAGAGAAATGAAGAAGAGGACTGAAAGGAAACTGAAAAAAATGAGTAAGCCCCTTAAATCATGTTGACTTTCAGAGTGTGCTCCCACTTGACACAGAATGGTCACTATTTCACCTGATATAGAAAAACCGGCATCCCACTTCATTTATTTCTCTGACTGGAATAAATAGATGTGAGCTGCACTGTTGAGTGAATGAAACAAGGTGACCGGCAACAAATGGGCTGCGGCAAGGTCACGACTGGATGCTTAAGAGAGTGCTCGGTCCTCTGTAATGTACCTTGTTAATGGCTGGAAATGGGAAATACTCTTTGAAAATGTGGCTTAGTGGGATGAAGAATCAATGACAAAGCCGGAGAGAAAGAAAAGGAGTCTGGAAAGCGAACACAAGAAAGGGGACGCTGTCCTCGTGCCAAACCCACATTGCTCTGTTCCAGCACGTTAAGCAAGTTCCTTAAAAAAAATAAAAAAACAACTTCTTTCCAGTTCAAACAGTGAACAGATAAATTATAGTCTGACGAAAAAGTTGCCAACTCTAGGTTTAAAAAGACGGAACTAAAAAATGTAACTAAATGTAATTAATTTAGAGAATCAGACAGATTGATTAAAAACTACTTTCAGACGTGCAATGACATCTGGAGATATTCCTGAAAATATGGGGCTGTATTTGAGAATTCAAATGTCAGAGTCAGTTGCTCTGGACAGTTTCCGTAACTTTTCTTGCAGGCGTCCCGAGTAAAATGTCTGGAAAATGTCTGAGTGAGTCCATGTGAGAATACAGCAGGAAAAGATGTCCAGAGAATTTACAGCGAGCAGGTGAACACTGACACGACACTGGAAGAATACAAATATCTCACGATGAAAAAGATGGAACCATTTATGAAGAAGATGCAGATGAAGATGTCAACATGAGTTCTGGGAAATACGGACCGATGCCTGTGTTGATGGGTAAACAAAAACACTGCGATTTCCTCTCTCTTGACTGAATATTCCTGTTGTTGTGAATGCATCTGAGCATATTTTTCTGGACTTTTTTTTAGGTTTCATGTCTGAACAGCTTACAATCAAAGAAATAAAAATGTGGATGAAGAAAAAATTGCAGAGAAAAAGATAAACAGGAAAACCCAGGTTACGGATAATTATATGAGAGAGATAAAGAGAGACTCTTTGGAATATAAATATCACGTGCTGGCTAAATGTTTTCCAGATTTGGTTGATGACTAACTCTCTGTACTAAGTTTGAATACGTACCTTCAGAAAGGGGATGACAAAGGGTCGCAGTGGGAAGTTGGTGGCTTCTTGGAGCTTGGAGTGAAATTCTTCGATGGTTAGTGTGGAATTCTAGAGGAGAGAGAGAGAGAGAAAACACATGAGTCCATATGGAAGGCATTAGGTGATAATATTACTTATTGGAAGCTAAGCTATATCCTGGCCTGGAGTGAACGTTTCGGGGTTTTTTGTAATAGGAAGCACATGTGCAGGCCACAGTGAAGAGAGCCGCAGAAAGCAAAGACACACATCTCCTCCACTTAACAAAACAAATACAAACGCAGGAGTCACATCTTCGAAAAACACATGTTTTTTTTAACCAAGTATCTTTTCAAACATGTATTTCATTATAATTGTTAGTAGACTTCATCATAGGTTTTTGATGTATCTAAAAATGTAATTGCAGTTGTGGGCTTTTCAGTCTATTTTCACATTAGCACATGTTGCTTATTTGACTTAAGATGATTTCTTTATTTTCTGTTTAATGTTGTGTAGATTACACACACACAAGTTTTCTGTTGTCACCTCAGACTAACTGTCTCGACCAACGTGACCAAAATACCTGCATGAAGTGGAGCAGGCAGATGTGCAGTAGACAGGGAGGTGGGTTGTATATTCAGTGTGTATGGTTACAAACAGGAGAAACATCTATGTCTGTTTTTAAAAGTGGGATCTAGATTTCAGTTTGTCAACCCCCCACATGGAAAGTCTAGTCTCTTCTTCTTTGATTGTGTGTAACGCACAATCATGCCTGACAAGATGGCAGATACTATTTTTAATTTTCAACATGAAGTATTCCAAAGATGCAGAGACGGTGGGAGAAAGAGGGAGAAAGAGGAAGAAAGAGGTGAGCGTGCACATGGGAGAAGAATCTGCTTTATAACAAGCAAAAACACAAACAAAGGGGAAAAAATCAAGCGAGACGGGGAACATAAAAAAAAAAAAAGCTGCAGATATTATTTTTTTTCCTCCCCACACTCTCACAGCCTTATTTCCCAGACCTGAATTTTGTTACATTCAGCCTTACATCTGTTCGCCCAGATTGCGTAGGGGCTGTTCTTGACAGCTAGTGAAACCTCCAGAGTCTCCCTCTCTGCAGCGCACAAGCAGCTAATTAACAGTGTCACTCTCTTCAATGAGGCAGGGGGAGGGACGGAGGGAGAGAGAGAGAGAGAGAGAGAGAGAGAGAGAGAGAGAGAGAGAGAGAGAGAGAGAGAGAGAGAGAGAGAGGGACAACTTGAAGAGAGAGACACCGAGATGGTGGGGGGGATGCAAGCCAAAAGGACACAGGAGAGGCATGTGCATATGTAGACGGTGAGAAAAATAAACACAGTGAAGCCAAAAGGAGGCTATGCTCTGTGTGGCTAATTAAAAAAATCCCTCCCTCCGTCTCCTCCGCCTCCTCCGTTCTGCACGACGTTCAATCACTATTTCTGTATTCCCCTGCTCGCCCCGCTCAAATTTCCCTCAGATCACACAGACGCATGGTAAATATTTAGATTTGCACATGTATTTTATACCGAAAGCTCCCGGTGAGGTAGCCTCGATAGAACCGTGTCAGCGAGGCTGCAGAAATGCATCGGTCTCATCAAACCTCTGTGTGACTGAATGTATTTTGATGTTTTGCGGTGCTTGATTTATATTTTTACACTTTTACTGATGAAGAAATCTCTGGTGAAGAAAACATCTCTGCACATGCTGTAATTTAAACATTTCATGGGTCCAGTTGTTATTCTATGAACACTGAACATGTTGCTTTTAAACTCTGTGATTAGTATTTCATTTTGATATTGAACACCTCACCGTCCTTATTCTCTGGATCTTAATTTATTCGTCCTCTTAAAGCTACAATCATCATTTTTTCATTGAAATCCAATATATTTATTAGCTAAATAAATACAAATAAATAAATTAAAGTCTTAATGTTGTAGCTGGCTGACTCACATTCGTTTATCAGGCACCTGCACAACCTAAATATCGGTGTTAAATTAAGAAGCCTAATCCTTATCGCCTCGTGCCTGTTGTATTTCAATTTAAATAAATAGAACTCAGTTAAATCCAGAGTGGATCAGGTGCATAAAAACGGTAGTTTGGTGATTTGATGTCGGTCGCTGTAGTCAACAACATACGTTCAGTGTTTTGTCTTAGAATGAAGAAAGTGCTGCGAAGTAGATGTTCAAATCTCTCCAGGTGTTTATTTTACTCTCATGCCTGAAGGAGCAGATGCGTGAGATTTTTTTTTAGTGTCAGAATATAAAACAGCGAATATAAACCCCCTGGTGGTTTTCATTAGCAGCGTTAAGTCGCTTAATTCCTCATCTCTGTGAATTACAACTAACCTGACACTATTTAAACTTTTTTTTTTGATTCAATAAACCATTTTCCATCTGGCTCTTTAGGTACGTTGAACAAATGCTCAGAATTATTCTCAAATAACTCCACTAATTGAGTCACTTATTCCTGCTCAGGTTAGAACTGGTGTCAGCTTTCACTCAATGAGCCCTTTGAACTGCAGCTCACACAGACACACACACACAGGAGCTACTCACCACTAGTCCCAGCACTAATGTGCGGACCCGCTCGCCGATTTCAGGCGAGATGTCGTTGCCAAACTGCTGCAGAGTTGTGAGGAAGCGCTTGAGCTTGCTGAGCTGCCGGGCGCCACAGGCCGGCGGCAGCTGCTGGTTGGCCAGTGAGGATGAGGAGGACGAGCTAGGACCGTTGCTATATCCGTTTGGTGGAGACGGAGCGCCATTGAGCGCCGTGGGAGAGTGGCTGCTGCCATTGGTTACTGTGTGAGACAAGGACATACATAATATTATCAAGAGAAAGAAGGGCAAAATGAGAACGATTATGTTTTGGGTAAATATCATTTCCATGGAAACAAACTGCTGTGCAAAGACAACTCTGAATTTTAATTTTGCCGAAAATAAATCATGAGAAAATAACCCTGACTGGCGAACACCAACATGGGTCAGCTTCATGGAGACTCAACCACTGATTTGAAATGATTTACATTCCACTGAAAACATTCACAACACTCAACATTTGTTTCCAATCATCCCGACTTGTTTGATCCTCTGCGGCATCCTCTCATTAAAAACATATTTCTGCATTTGGCGACACGTTGCCTCTCTCCACCTCCTTCTCCCTCTCCCTCCTTTCCTGCAGTCTAAACAAGCGGGGACAGCGTGACCCCCCGTCCTGCCAGAGCACGGCAGCAGTTTGTGTGTTGTGTGTGCGCGTGTCTATGGGGGGAGTTGGTGTACAAAGAAATACAAGGCGGCATAAAGCTTTCTCTCTAATGAGATTAGGTTTTGACTAGCGATCCACTCACTCCCCCTCTGGCCGCCGTCCAAAGCCGCCACTGTAAAGAGAGGAGAGAGACGAGATGCTCAAACTGCATCTGGTAACAATTACGTCGGGTGGAAATCAAAGCATACTGCTTTGTTAAAACCTTCGGCATGCGTAATGAGAGAGCTGGGCCTTTCCTCTCTCATCGCACGGAAGCCCCAACGTTAATTGTGGACTGTGAGTGTTTGCAATGGAGACGGATACAAAGAGAAAGAGAGAGAAAGCAGAAACAAGAGATGAAGAAAGGGTGAGTAACAAACAAAATAACGCCTTTGTGGCAGAGAACCGGCGCTGCTAATGAAGAATTGAAGGTTTTGAACCACGGCATCTTTGATTCTTTGATTCTAGTGCTCTTCATGCAAGTGGTTAAGTGTGTACTTCTAAGTGAATACTCGGGTGTAATTTGCTCGTCACAGCCTATGTAAGCGTCATGGCAAAGCTCCAAGGGTTTGTAAGCGTGGGTGTTGATGAACTTGTTGAGGGAGTTGCTGGGAGTGACTGCAATTTGGAAAAGCTCAATGTAAATTGTTAAGAGCGTCTCATGACGTTGATGTTGCTTTTTATATACGATACCATTGAACATCATTTATCTTTTACACGACCCTGTCTCATTCTTTCTATATAACTAAACTGCAACAGCAAATCTGTTTTGTGATAAACGTAGGCTGGATTAAATTCAGATGCCCCATTATTTTTCAATGTATGAATCCCCACATTTATTAACAGCAGCAGAGTCGCCAGCAGGTGGTTGAGGTGGAGAGCATGCGTACAAAGTGCACGAGCGTCACACCACAGCTTCTCCCCCACAGCCCCGACTGTGGTTAGGTTCAGGCAACAAAAGCACTTTGGTTAAGGTTATGGGAATATAGTGGTTTTGCTGAAGTGTAAATGAGTCTGTGTAGTCACTATGAAGTTTTTCTGTATTAAACAATGTTCACAAAAAGATCACAATGTTTTCTTAACCTTAACCAAATGTTATGAGCGCCTTAACATGGCTGTAAAAAAGTTAAAGTTGTGATGGTTCTGCAAGATCCGATATTTTGGTGCATTTTATTGATTTATCTGAATTTCCAGCTTGTCAAACACATTAAATAACAATATATCCTTGTTAAATGAATACAAAAATAATCTGTTAGCACTTATTTTATCATGTAACTTATTTGCTGTTGCAGATAAATTGAATAGAAACATAATTTCGAGGACACAGGGTTGCTCTGTTTCATCTTTTTAAACTGTTTGCGTTATAAGGATCCCAGGTGCTGTGAACCTCTGCTGCTCTGTTGTACAACCCTTAAAATACAGTAGAACTATAAATCTGTCTCTACTCACAGGTTGTGGGGGTGTAGGAGCTGTTGCGTGGTGCTCCCTGTGTGCTGGGTGGGGGCGGCATGGTAGGGGGGGTCAACCTGGACTGTGTCTTGACGTCCGCAGGTGAGTCGGGCATGGTGGAGCGCTTCCCAGTGCGATCTGGAGGAAGACAGCAGAGGAAAAGATTATAATAACAAACCAATCATGACAATTAAACACAGGGAATAAACAACATTTCAAGGCAACACATCCCAGCAAGAGCTAAATCATTATTCCCACAGTGGCAGGATTTAATAGAACAACAAAGCTTTTGCAAGGTGTTCTACATACACACACTAGATGTGGAAATAGATGGCTCACCACATCATATGTCTTTCCACAATGACACTGATGCATTATGCTCAGACTGTCAAATGAGAAATGGGATAGAGATGAGGGAGAAACTCACAGACAGACGCCAGAGAGTGTAAATCTGCAGTGAGTGCGGGTCTCATTCCACCACCATCTGTGCCATCCTGCATGCCCGCTGTACAGAGTGGCGACAACACCCCCCCCTCCCCTGCTAACGACTGCAGTGCTCATTACACACACACACACACACACACGCTTGTATCTCTAGAAACTATAGTCACATCTGTTCAGGACAGGATCACTGCAGACAAGCATCTACTCCGTGAACTAAATCCAGTTCCAAAAAGGTTTTTAATACAGTACTTTGATACAAAGCAGAACAAACAAACTCATATCGCTCAAAAGAAATTCCAAAGATAAACCATCAAGAACAAAACTGTGTTTTTTGGTTTACATGACCATTGTCACCTAATTCAGTTGCTTTGTACTCAGCAGATCCCACCACATCAAACGTATGAGAAAAGCAACACAACATTATCAGAGTAAGACACACAAACGTACACACACACACACACACACACACACACACACACACCAAACAAGCCTATCACAGAGTCAACAGTATGTTATCAACTGTCTCTGTGGCACATTGTGAGGAGGAAATTATAAAAAAAAAAAAAAGAAGAGAGAGATTTTAGAGGGTGGAGGATGATAAATAAAGGAGAGAGAAGCGAGGGAAGGGAGGAGCAGCAAGAGAAACAACAGCACTATCAGTGACATTGGAAACTTATAATCATTAGGACACACTAATCAGGGTGGTCCCAGTCACACATTCCTCTCATTGCAGACCTTCGGGTGGCTGTGCATGTTTGCGTGATGAACATGCATGCTGTTGCGTAATCACATACAGTATTTCACATGCACTCATATGTGTTTGTTTGCATTTTCTCCCTCAATGTCCGTGCAGTCACGCATGTTAAAAACACACTGCAGGCAACTTAAATGTTAGTGCTCCTCTGTGCCGGCTGTTTGCCTTCACTGTGCCAAGTTTAGACAAAATGAAAGAGAAATACTGACGTGGGAGACAGGATAGCCTAAGCCTGTTGGCTAGGCCCGAGCCTCAGTAGCACCCGCTGCTGCCGAGGTGCGCTGTGACTAAGTACTTTAGTCACGCCAGCTCGGCTTTAGCAGCCAGGCGAGTGAGAGATGGAGATGTCAGTGAAATTCAAAATAGAGCACACTACTCAGTTGAACGTTTGGGGTCACAGATTTGTTTCCTCCACTTGTTGACCCTTTGAGAAATGAGCAGACGGAATGTGATGGAACTGAATGGAACAATCAAGCTCACTTCAAGATATACACATGATATAGAATTATACAAGTGTAATGAGCAGCAAAATGTTCAGGAACAGTAAAGGTCATATGCATATGCAATGATATGCTGTTGTCAAGATATTCTCTTGTTAAAAGGGAGAGCCTCCAAAGACCCTCGAGTCAAACACAACCCAACCAAGATACTCAAACACTGTGGGAAGAACCATCCCATCCTCTCTCCAGACAGAGGTCACACTCCTCCTTCTCAAACCATGCACACTCCGGTGCTTTGCTAGGAGGGGTCGACTGATTAAGTCAGTGGGAAGGTGGGAATTATCTGGCTCCCAGCACTTCAAAACTCTGAAACTCTGAAAACTAAACCTATCAGGGTTATAAGCTGCCAATAGCCCTAGTTTGAGCTGAAAAGGTTAAATTTTTAAGGTTTGGTTTGACTCAAAAAGATGTTGGATTCTACAGTTAAAATGAATATATCCATGTAAGTACATTAGCTTGTACACGGGGAATGAAATATGAAGGGGAAAGCGATAAATTGCTGGAGAGCAGCATGAATGGACACAGAGCAGATTAGTGGAAAAACTGAAGTGATTGGGAAAGCAGAGTATCGAGGGATGGAGGTGAAGGTGGAGTAAATATGAAGGAAGGCCATGGAGAACGGAGCGACTGTCCAAGCCTTTAACTGTCTACCCACTGTGCTGCACATTTGGTAACTGTCTGCGTCTTTCCCTCTCGCTACCTTTTTCCACACACATTCATCCTCTCGACCTGGCCAGACTGAGAAAGGTTTACTGCTCTAATTTCACCACGGTAAAAAAGTAAAGAAGTCTGGATCCGACTATTTATTTTATAAACTCGGGCTACAGCAGAAAGGCCAGTGGAAACATATAGTCTTACCTCTGGCTGCCAGCTATCACATCCTGTGTGCCTGCTGAAAATATGATCTACGAAAATACAAGGTCATTAAAAGAAAGACGGCCGGGTGACAGCACCCAAGGTAATTCATCATTTTCCAGTCAAACACAAAGACCTTATATGTATATACTTAACAAGCCCAAGTTAAATACAGAGAAGTCATCGTATCACACATGGTTGCACTTATCCTGTTTCAATTGATCTTTGAGCTCATGCTTTCCATTCTTCTGTATATTTCCTTTTCTAATTGTGTGGTAATTTTTTGGCCCAGCTGACATCTTCCATTGTTAGATAGTGGGACATATAATTAGGATCCAAATCATCTTATAATCTTTCAGACCTGATAAGGAAATGGATAGAGTGAATGACTCATATCACCACAATGCAATTTGAAATCAGACACTGACAACAGTCCCTAGGGTGGCACGTGATATGGCTGGAACTTTATTCCATGGGGTGTTATTAATTCAAGGGACACAACATTTTTTTCTACAATAAAAGATTAAAAAGTCAATTGGAAACACACAGAGGAGGCAAAACAAAATCCCTACAAAATTCTGGACTTGAAATCCACCTGAACTCCCACATGGCACCACACGCCCGATGGCAACACGAAAAGATGAGTTTGGTTACAGGCTTGTAATTGAGGATTAACACCTGGGTCAGTGTTATCATCGAATGGCAGTTGCCGGGTAGAGATGAGAGAAAACATAAACCCAGAATGCATTTGAAACTCATCCGCAGTCCCTCAGGTGAAGAAGATGAAGGATAAAGGATGAATTAGTGGGAAATCCATGCACACACACACACAC